GAATTTGAAGAATGCAATTGCAAGTGATATCTCGCTTAACTAGGTGATTTTAAGCTCAGTGGTTGTATTTTTATGTCATTTGCTTTTAGCTGTTTTTTAGTCTGTTGGTGTATCTTCTAAACTCAGTATGTTTTGTTACTTTTTATGTTAGCTAATTGTGGAGATGTATGTGAGTAGTTCCGGTTCCAGAGTTTGTCAATCTACCGGGCTACATGAAGTAGTATTGATCTGGTTAGGGTTGAAATTAGTTTAGGGCACCTGCGTGTCTTCTTCTCATTGGACTTCGGTCGAATTTGGCTACTTAGCCTTCGAATTCTGTACATTTGCTAGTTTTATTAATCTATCGGTCCATTAAAAATAAAAGACATGATAGAGATAGAACATATACCTTACTCAACACGATTAAAAAATACTCTAACAAAAGTATTAAAATTAGAAAAGGCGGTAAAGTTTAGGTACTGAAAGTGAAGTTCTAATTAAACAGAAAAGAAATTGATACCAAATAAGTAAATGAAAATTATTATTATTATTATCGCAATTCTATGAATGTTTATTTAGGGCAATAGGGATCCAAACAAGATAACTTAGAGTATATAGATACGTTATTTATTAAAAGGCCAGGTATGCCAAATGGCTATTATTGAAGCGCGTATGAATCACATATGATTGAAAATATTTAGGCTTGGAGATAACATAAATTTTGGATCAAACTTCATTTTATTTTGAAGGAAGGTTGGCCATCTGGATCCGTAATGTTCAATCCACTGTGAGTTGTTGTCGTAAAACGGCAGGTACTTCTTATACTTGATACCATTTTTATTACAGACACGCATAACCTTATTGTTGAAATCATCAAAGGCCTTATAATGAGTGGGCGCACTCCTATGCAGCAGTGATAAAGCGTAGAATATCTCCTCATCCGGTATCACTGCAGAGGTTTTATTACTCCATCTGTGCATGATATTAATGTAATATATATATATATAGTTAGAAATTTTAGAAAATTATAACAAAAAAAAAAAAGAACTTTCTAGTTTAGAGGATGAATTAATTAATTGTGGACTACTTTGTTGCGTTGAGTGGGTAGTAAAGGGGTATGGTAGGTGCTTGGCCAAGGGTTGGAAGCAAGCCAGCCAAGACATATTTATTAAACTTCTTGTTTTGAGATCTCGGGATAAATAGAGAGAGCCATGGATGAGCTTGCACTGATCCCCGATCGGCACGGTCCAAGTCTCCAACTCTGTAAAGGAAATCGAAGTAGGACTCATCCAAAGTGAAGATGAATTTAGGGATATACTTCAACTTGCCAACCAACCTCTGGAATTCCTATTAGAGGATAAAGAAAACTATTAATTAATTGAGATGTACATGATCGAAATTGAAACACTTTAACAATATAAATATAATTTTGTAATGGAATTAATCTGAATAAAGCAAATAATGAGTAAGTAACAATGTTCTGAAAACCGGACCAGACTGGCCGGTTCGACCGGTTCAACCGGAAACCGACCCCTCCACCGGTCCGATTTGAAGTATTGAACCGCTGTGACTCAAAACCGGTTAAGAACCGTTTAAACCGGTCAAAAACCGGTGAAACCGTTAAACCGGTTGCAGTTGAGACGGACATGTGTTCTGTTTTGAGAAAGCATGATTATGCAATCAATTAAAATGGCTGAATATGTTTTGTAGTACTCCCGACGTGGGATTGAGTTCACAAAAGAAATTGTTTGGCTGTTGCCTTATTGGGCCTTAATGTTGCCTTATTCAAAACCGTTTGTTGCCTTATTGGGCCTTATTGTTGCCTTAGCCATTCAAAACCGTTAAAAACAATTAATAATTGTTCGCAACTTGTAACAAAAAGCTTATCTTGCAGCATGGGCTTATAAAATAGCTGATCTAGTTTTATTTTTTAATAAGTAGTAAGCTCAATATTTAAGAAATGGAAATAAAAAAATAAAAAAAAAAAATCCTACGAGTGGCATAATGGGCTTAGAAAAATTATTTATTACATATGAGGCAATGATATATATGTAGTATATTAATTGTATTTCTTCTCTATTAAAAAAGTTAAAAGAAATTTGATGATTGCTATTTTGAGGTAATAATATATTTATAGTATATTAATTGAGTTTCTTATATCTACTTTCTATGTCATATAAAATATTTTACAATAAATTTCATATATGTTTAATCTCATAACTTTTAAGTATAATATATATTTATAAAATATTTATGAATACTTTAAGTATTTAACTATTTGTTTTATTATATTTTTAATTTTTTATATATAAAATTTAATATATAATATATCATATATTTTAAAAATATTAATATATTAAATTCCAGTCCAACCTGTTCAACCATTGGTCCGACCAGTGAACCATTGAACCAGTAGCTCGACCGATTCGATGACCGGTCCGGTTTTCAGAACATTGGTAAGTAAACACATATAGTACCTGATAAACAGTGTTGACCGTTTGATGGTCGTAATACATGGAAAATTCAATGGCATATAATACAATATATTTCTTCAACAAGGCATCAACATCGGATAGAGTGATCGAAGAATTGTAAGTTATCCAACCGCTGGGTATAATGTTATTTACGATAATGTAACCTTCAGTGTAGTTTGGAAGATTGGTAGAAATAAGAAACTCTTGGTCATTTGAGAAATGACTAAAGTGCGTGTAAAGCAATCTCGTCGTTATGGCCTGTGATTACAAAAATAGATCAAATATTGAAGTATAATGGAAAAAATGCCATACATTATAGCAATTAGTACTCATACTCCATATAGGTAGTTAAAAGAATTTAAGTAAAAAATATTACCCTTGTTGGTGCTTTTTCGAGTCTGATTCGTGCCTTGGTCATGATGCCAAACTGTCCAAGGCCACCGAGAAGGGCATAAAATAGGTCCGAGTTCCAGTTTGGATTGCAATATTTGTGGTCTCCTTTACCTAAACAGATATGTATGCACATGGTAAAATTGTAACTGAATATGCATGCTATAGAGGAACGCAAAGAAAGATATCTTATATAGTGAGAAATAAAATTAAATACAGAATGGTATCATATATAGATATATACCCGTAATTGCATAGACAGAATAAACATTGGAAATTTGGGGACCGTGCTGAAACGATTGTCCGCTTACACCCGCGTTAGAGAGTGATCCGCACACGCTTACGCGTAGATAATCCGTCCATGAAACAGGCGTAAGATTAACCTTAAGTGTGGCCCTTAAAACGTCTAGCCACTGCTGCTCGCACCCGACATCCACATAATAACCTAAATTGTTTTTCTTACCAATACTGATCCTACTCCCATCGGTTTTGTTCAGAGCAGTCATGTTGACCACTATGCCGGAATAGACTTGGGACTGTCCCCTCGTGGAATGGCCACGGGCCCTTATGGCGAAGGTCTTGTTTGGTTCAGTGCCATAGTTCTTATATTTATGCATAATTAGATTTTGGATTTCACTGACACGCTTAGGGTCAAACACGAAACTTGGTCTAAGATGAACTATGTTTCCATAGTCTTTGGATGCTTTTTCGAGGGACACATTGTCGTAGTGGAATCGATTTGCAACTATGTTCCAAGCGCTTGTGCTTGGGTCAATGCAAATTGCGATAATAACCAACAAGGATAGAGGGATTGAAATTGAAGGGGGACTTGCCATCACTACTCGTGGGTGTATGGTGGATAATTGGATTATTAGATACTTCGTGGTGAGTGGTATGTGCTTTGATGTTACCTCTTGTACTTATAGGCATGTACTGGCCTATTAAATCCACCAATAACTTGAGTTTTGCATTATACCAAACAACTTTTTCAAATTTTGAGGCATCATTGTTTTATTTTTCTTCACAAATCCGCACACACCTATTATATTTTAATAAATCTCACTAATTAAAAAAAAAAAATTACATCATCCAATAACAAAACCATTTTCTATAGAGAGGGCCTATTAAATTCACTAACAAGTTGACTTTTGCATGATACCAAACAACTTTATCAAATTTCGAGGCATCATTGTTTTATTTTTTTTTCTCAAATCCGCACACATCTATTATATATTAATAAATCTCACTAATTTAAAAAAAAAATTATATCATCCAATAACAAAACCATTTTCTAAAACGGTGAACTTGTTTTACACAAGATTATATACATGCAGTTTCTTTTACACATTGTCCAATGAAAATATTTCTTTTTCTCACCCCAGAACTCATGAGATTATATGTGATATAATAGACGTATATTCATACGAACCTTATTTAACATTTATGCATGATTTTTCCATATATATACCAACGCAGTGGCAAAACCAGCCGATCATCCCGGGGAGGGCCCAATTTTCCGCAGCGCACCACCCCACTCCGGCCATCCCCCGGCACACCACCCCACTCCGGCATCGGAAGGGCGCCCAAAGGGCTTTTGTGGACGCTCTCAAAAATTTCGCAGGATATAAAGAAATACTCTACAGATTTTTCTAAAAATCAAACAAAGTCCGGAATTAAACTGTATACTTAAACAGAATTGTTTTAACTCAAAAAATTCTCGAATTTATACTAATAAAATCTCGGACTCAATTATAATAATAATCAAGAATTATACCTCCTTTTGAGCAGACGAAAAGCTGAAAAAATTGAGAAAACGAAGCCTCGAACGATCGAACTCGTCCTCGACAAATTTGCTCATTTTGATACTATTTACGCAGAAATTCAAACTCCCGTAATAAATGCTTGGAACTCCGAAAAATGCAAAATTTGTCCGTATGGAATCGTGCTTGAATTGTCTACACGCTCCAACTCGATTCTTGTTAAACCGAGGTCACACATAACCTTACGGAATCCCGCAAAACGGCTTTTTATTCTTCTATTATGCGCACTCAACTTCGAGCTTCTCAAAATAAATGCTCGAAACTTATAAACGTGAAATAAATTATACGAAAGGCTTCTACTGTTCTCGTGCTTTCAAGAAAGCACTCCCGTTAATTTTCAGCACGCCTAACGAGGGCCGAAGGTTACCCGAAGTCTAGACATGAAAATAACAATAAAATCACCGCCACTGCCATTTTTCTCTCAACTTAGGGCTACTCAAAATAAATGGTCGGGACCTCAAAATCATAAATCGATGCCACCAACAGACTCTCTGCTTCCCGTACTTTCATAAAAGTATTTTTCGGTAATGATCGACTTGGTTTTTGAGTCCCATCGGTACACCGCAAGTCGGCTAATTAACCAACTCAAAATATAATAAAAATGAAAAAATTATTAAATTCTGTTGCTGTTATAGTTCTCCTTGTCCCGAAACCAGGATCTCGTTTCGGGGAAGGGCCAATTTGCCTTTAAAAAAATTTTTCACGACAAAATCGGTGGCGCCCCTCCGGTCATGTATGTACCGCATAAAACCGGGGAGGGACCAACATGCGCGTTCAAAGGAAAATCTTATAGTTCCAGCAAAATCCTCCATCCCTAGTTAATTTTTTTTTTTGGAGGGGCCGGCGCCTCTCCGACCCCCCAAGTGCTTTCGCCCCTGTACCAACGTCCAACGCATACCCAAATTGGACGCATGGTTAATAATATGAGCAAGACAGACACATATATGTTAATCGTATATGCATATCCACCGCATAATTCTTGATATGTGAAATTAATTTGAATATATAGTAGACGCATATTTAAAATGATAGCTACATATTTATCATTATGAGATGTGTTTTCGCATATTTTTTGACTCGTATATCTAAATTGGACACATAGTTAACACGTATGCCAAACACTTACACATATTATTTAACCACATATCTGAATACTACATATGGTTTACCATGTGAGATAATGCTTTTGCATATTAACTTATCACATATTCAAATCAAACATCACATATTTTAGGATTATTCATCTCCAAATCCATAAAGCCATAGATTAATGAATATGTGCATTATGTTTGGTATTCGAGAATTGCATAATTTAGGATTTTCCCAATCAAAAGAATGCGACTATTTAGCACATATAGTTACTGGATATTCAAAAATTAGTTTTCGAATAGTTTACAGCTCACATATTCAAATACATAACGCAGTATAATTAACGAATATGCGTAACATGTCCGCATATTCGCGAATCTCATAATTTATTATTATCCAAATCAAAATTATCCGAAAATTATTTTGCATATATTGTTACCACATATTCAAATTGTTTTCAGCATATTTTAGGATTATGAGAAATGTTTTTGCATAGTGTTCAACTCGCATATCCCAATGTGGGACGTTGTATAATTAACGATTAGGCCTAATATGTTCACATATTCATGAACTGCATAATTAATTAATATCTAAATCAAAATAGTGTGAAAATTTTTTCCCATCTATAGTTTCCGCATGTTCAGATTGATCACCGCATATTTATGATTATGCAATATGTGTTCGCATAGTTTACGACTCACATGTACAAATTGGTCGTGTAGTTAATAAATATGAAAATTACTTTAGCATATTTTGTAATGGTATATCATAATCCACTGAATAATTTAGCCTATACATGAAAGTATCTCATATTTGGATACTGCATATCCAAATTGAGCATCACATATTTTAGGATTATGCGACTATTTCACATAGTTTACGACTCGTATATCCAAATCTATAACGTCGTATAATTAATGATTACCAATAATGTATTCGCATATTCACGAAACGCATATCCAAATTGAAAGGTTCATAATTCACGACTATCCGCCATTATTTTGACGATCCATATCACAAATCGCATATCTGCCAAAAATGTTTCGGATGCTATACGGATAGTTTTGTATCGATATGCGAAAATATTTCACATATGATTGGAATGGTTACGTATTGCATTGATTGAATTCCTATTTCACGTAAATTATACATGTAAGATGTGGATTTTTTGTCAGAAATCTTAGTACCACTTAACAATATTCTTCTTTTTCTTGCCCGCATTTAATACCACTTAGTTCTTATTCTACCTGCATACATTACTAGCATTTAAATTTTAGTAAAACATGCTAGCTCGCCTCAACCCATCTGACTAAGTGCGTCGCCCACCATGTTTGTTACACCCCGCCCAAATTTACTAAAATCAGAATAAATTTTTCTCCTGATAAAATGAAGGACACTGATTTAATCTTGGAAAAACTCAATTTAACTTTTTCAAACATACTTTAATCTGTATGCGACATGCTACTCAACTGAACTGAATACTCATTTATGTTCTCATTTACTATTGTGCATGCAACCGAGATCTAGTTCAGTACTCTAATGAGGCGCCATGAAAATCTCATGATTTTTGACATACATAAACTGAAATTCTGAATACTGAAATACTGAAATATTGTTCTCAAATCTAAAACACAGTTCTTGATTGCGGAAGCAATACAAGTTCAGAAAGCAAACATAAATAAGCATGCAATGACAAATGACATATAGTTCAAACATGTTCAAATAGATATATGACATGTCATATCAAAATATCCTCGCTCATGACCACCACCACATATCAGCTCACGCACCACGCGACTGAAAAATGGTTAGTGGGGAGGCGTGAGCATAAATGAATCAACGATGCTCCGCCAGAACTGACACTGAATATTCAACACATTTAATAACAAATCATGAAATAGACATATATATAAATAAATTGGGCTAACTATGGGACTAACGATAAACCGACACTCATGTGCACACTCTAGAGGTCCCTCCCACACCAATCTAAGAGAGACACTATCACCCCATCTGGACGCTAGACTTAGGATGGGGCCTAATCACACACATATAAGTCAAAACTGAAATATGAAATCTTGACCAAGATGGGATCACTCATCCGTCTTGATCCATCAATTTAATCACATATATACTTCAGACATGATGAATAATTAAAAGCGATAAGATACACAGTACAGTGGTCCCTACCTGGATGTTGGCGAATGCAAATGCTAAATAATGTTGAACTATCTGGTAACAAGTGGAGGCTCGACTCTCCTCAGGCTACAAAAATATTGACCAAAATATTCTAAGCTGGGCTAAAAAAAAACTCGAATTTTATTATCCGATCTGTCTAGGTTCGCCCACTCGGTCTTAAAAACATTTTAGGGATTTACGAGCTGATTTTGAAAGTATATTGCCTTTGAAGTATATTGCCTTTGAGGCATATTAGAGTTCTCTAAAATTTTTCTAAGTCTGGACTATATTCTGACTGGACATAAATCTGGCTGGATCGGATAAACTGGATTCTCGGTTCACGATCAAACAGATGTTCCGAGCTGAACTCCTGAATCGTCTGGACTGCCTGGACTGGTTCGACTGAACTGAAATTCTCTTTGAACCTTCTGGACTGCTCGGATTGGTTCGACTGAACTGGACCGACGGCTCACTCAAAGCGAGTCGATTCGCTTGACTATGTGCAGCTCGGTTCAACTGTGGTATGGGTTGGCCGTAAAAACTCGGGGCCGGCACGAATTCGACTGACATGGATTAGTCGATGCATGAACTTGAAACGATGCCACGGTCACTGACGCCGGAGCGTTCTTGGACCACGGCTAACGAAAAATATTGCGTTCACGGTAGGTCGTATGGACTCGGTGCACGGGCACACGCTCAAGGCTTTAACTCGGACTCAGCGTTTAACGCCCAGATTTTTATTTACTATT